TCAGCTTTAGCTGAGCTTTGGTTTTCGTAAAATCATCACTGCATGCATTGACAACTTTCCTGTATCTCCGTATTCCTCATTTGTAGATTGTCCTCACTTCCACCTCCAGTATAGATCAATTTTGTACTGGATATCAGTCACGACTTCCCTCTTGACTCATGCCAGTACAAGAAGTTTAGCTGCTCTCTTGACCGATCAGTTTGCTCCCCACTGACCCCCCACCCTGCCACCCCGGTACTAGGACAGACCATAGCTTTATTTGAAGATCTGTCAGTTCTCTTGAGTTCAGTGGCCCTTCAGAATTGCCTCTCACAGGATATAATCTATCAGTTCCACAAAAAAATAAAATTAAAAAAAATCTCTTATGTTCAAGCTCCAAATTCCGCCTTCCTCCCTTCATTCAGGAACCACTGGTTATGATGGAGACAGAGAGATGAAGGAACATTACAGTCTTACTAAATGCATTACTAAAACATCTTCTTTATCAAAACATTACTAAAATACGGACAGTTGAAGTCTTGCAAAACAGTCTGATTTTTTTGGTAAACTAGAATTGCAGAAGCTCATTTTTAAGGATGCATCCATCAATAAATTTGTTTTCTGGGGAAAAATATTAAATAAATGTATTTAAAGGACTATATTAGACCACAACATTCAGAGAGGAAAAAAAAAAACTACTCACTTTACCCCAGAATCTGTGAACAAAATTGTTCATAAAACAGTCTTCAATGTGTTACAAACATAACTGCACATACAACTGACCAAGATCATAAAAGACAATCTGCATAACTGCAAATGAAGTTTCTTGTACTTCAGCTCATATCTTTTATAAGGGTAAAGAACCACAGACAAAGCTATTTTGAGTCTATATTCCAAAAGCATTTGCAGCGAGTTCATACTAGATGTTTAAATATTGAACACTCAGTGCATCAATGTTTATTCAGATGCTAATAAAATGTTATGATGTGTTAACTATATTCTACATTGCTTTTAAACAACTTGTACTGAGTGGTCTGAAATAGACTTAGTATGAATTTGAGCATGTCTGCCTGCTATTTTTTTTTACTGCTATGCCTAGACATCAAGATGAAGATGGGGATGTCAGTCATTTGACCAAGTACAGTTACCTATAAACAAACTACCTATTTCATCCTGGTGTTGCAACAAATGGAAAAACAAAAAACAAAAACAAAACAAACAAAAAAACCCCACAAGTCAGATGAATTATACTTCTAAAAGTGTTCTAGAGTTTTATGTTACAATGAAACAAGTAATTTCTTACCTACGTGCACAGTAGATATCTAAAGTTTCATGAGATTATTTTACCTATGATTATATTAATTTTACCTAGCAATATGTATTCTATTTACAAGAAAAAATAAGGAATGTGATAGTAACTATATTGCTACTCCTTTGACATCTATGTAGATACTGATTTTATGATGATGGCTTATAAACCAAAAGAAAATGAAATTACTTAGCTCAATGGCACTTTATAGGATTATCAGGAGAAAAATACACAAGAGAATATACAAACATTTGAATTTAAGTGATTCAGCTATTGAAAAAGTCAGCATTCTTTTCTCATTTTAGCTCTTCCACACAATTACTTTATATTGCTATTTAATAGCACATCTGTGATAGCGATGCAGCTCAAATTACACTCTGTTTGTACACTGTGTGTCTTGCAAACAAGAAGCAGTAAGAGTTTTTAAAAGCTAGTAACCAGAAATGTGTAGCCTGTGAGCTCCACCTACAGGATGAAAACAAATGTAAAACTGTATTTTTAACTACCAAACTAAGGACCATTTAATTTGAAGCATTCAGCTGAACTGCTCAAGCCACTAACATTTTAAAAATGTCATGTCATGCTGTTAAATTTTATTCCTATTGCAATGATGGCAGACATTTCTTTTATATGTGTATATATTTTCATGTAAACAACCATTCTGTATTTTGAAGTTTAAGTTTAATCTATCAATAGAAACAAAAGATCTTTGGAATTTCTCAGCTTGTCAGAAGGAGTGGGAAATACTTTTTTCCTTACGTTTCGTATCGAATACAAAATTGGAAAGTGTCTTCACATTATTTTTAAAAACATACACAAAAGGTTCAAATGTATACTGAAATTACCAAAATTTACTTCACCATCTGAGCACTCCAAGAACAATTGCATTTAGAAGAAGCAGTCCTGGATCTCAATACCATGAATTTGAGATTATGACTATTATTTCCATATTACTTCTCTGAAATTGATGTGCGAACTTCTCATTTCACACATGGATTTGTGCTGAAAGAAATGACTGATACAAATGAATACAGATTTGTTGAAAAAGTCATGCATGTTAAAAGACATGACTGAAAAAAACATTTTTAGCAGCTCTATTATTTTATTAAAGTATTTAAATATCTGATGAGATGAACAAATCTGTGAGATATCACACATTTCTTGGCCCTCTAATATGTTACTAGACATTCCTCTTCAAGCTATGTATGGTAGATTTTTTTTTTTTTATATATATATATTCCCACCTAATACATTTCTGTATACTCTGATCAGCACACACTTGGACTACTGTTGGTTGTGAAGTCCCATGAAAACATTATCAATCACCTTTGGTACACTTACAAAAAAGGTCACTATTGTAGAAAATGAAAATAATAAACTTTATCTCATCGTATCAGAGTTCAACGTTAATAAAGCCTTGTGGATAAACAGCACAATGCCTTTGATTTTCATGCCAGACAACACCAGACTATCATGTGGAATAAAACAGATTCTAGAACCTGATGTCACTTGTGATACTAAACAGTGTCTCTTTGGGCTATTGCTCCCAGCTGCTAAAAATTAATTCAATAAAACCCTCTTCTGTGTCTTGACAGTCCATTTGGCTATAATACTACTGCAACTGCCCTGAAAGAGTAGAATAAACAGGCAAAATACACTGACCTGCAAGCTAGCTGTGCTTGTGGAAGAATTCTACACAAATGTCTCTGAAACATGGTAAACTATAACACAAAAATTCCTAAGAGTATGCTCTAGCTTTGTGTTACACCCTCATACTGTGAACTTGCTACTACAACTTACGTATATATATAAAACTTACGGTTCTACTAGGCATCCCTGAAAAACAACAAACAAATTAGTCAACATGTTTGATGTATAGGTAGCACGTACGTACAGAGTCCAATGTCTTTTGCTATTCTGAAGATGTTTGGCTTCCATGTACTTGAAGGCCCTTTTCCAGAAAAAGCTTTCCATGGAGGATGCCTTAATTCTCACTCCTTCCTTCCCATTGTATGACACAGCTAACACTGGTCTTTATTTATCCAATGGTGACCACACCAGGACTTAGCCTAGATAATTCTTAATTATTTAACAATTCACAAGACTGATTTCACAGAATTTATTAAGACATCACTCCACAATTAAGGGCAGTTCATTGACTCTGTGAAGCTTATACTTATTCTGTACGGGGGAATATTATGGATAATACCACAAACGTTTTTAGAGTGTAGCATGAATCAACCACAGAGGCACAGTAACGAAAAACAGGAACTACCTCTTTATGAAATCAGGAACTGCATCAGCACAATGTTTTGACAAGATCTGCGACAGAAAACTGCCCGGTATATTCTTGTCTCACATAACAAAATATATTCATTTTAATTGACACAAGATAAATATTTATGTAATTTATCACTGGGATTAGGTATCAGTCTCAACTGTTGGACTAATAACTACATTTGGGGATCCAAGTTATCCATCATCCTGCTTGATATCAGTGTATTTCCTGTGGATCACCTGTCTACAGCAGAGATAGTTCAATCACCAATTTCCAAAGCAGCCACACAGCACTATTTCAAAGATGGCAGAGAGGAAAAAGAGATGGTTCTGTTCAGAGGCAACTGCTCTGGGAGAGAATTTAACATAGCCACTACACACCCAGAATTCATAATAAGCAAAGTCTGAGTAATTTCATCACACAATTATTTGTGACAACTGTATACAGTTAGAGTACAAATTCTGATTACATTTTTGGTGCTTCCTCCTGCCACCCTTCAGTAAGTTTCACTGAAAAAGAAAATTTACCCATTGAACTTTTAGACTGCAAAGACTGCAAAAAACTACAAATTGTTCAGTAACTTCCGAAGTCCATATTTCTTGAAATACTCAGTAATGGTTCCTCGTAAATTACTATTATGCTAAAATTCCAAAACAAGCTCTGGAAGCAAGATTTCTAAGATACAAGATTTCCAAAAAGGCATGTTAACTCACTGAAAATGGAGTGTTAATCAGTGCAGATGTTCGTGAAAATTAGCATAGTTGTATTACATGACTAGAACCTATGCCATTATGTGGTATTATGCTGATATTGCCACAAAAACATAGTAATTTGACTAGAGATAGTTTAATTATTTGAATATAGTGTTACACTACTAAACATATACATGTTCCAACCCTCTAAGAACAGCCCAACATAGTATTTAAAAACTTTTTAAACACAGTTTTAGTTTTTAACATAGTTACAGTGTTGAAAATCTGCTACATTGTAAAACAACTGCTGCATTAAAGCAGACTTAAGCAATGGAAGACTAGGAAGCCTTGCCTTTATATAAGTCCCAATGGTGGATGACCACCATATATTATCACAGATAGAAGATCTGCAAACTCAAGTATTACAGCTATGTAGAAAGACAAAGTAAAGCATGATAAACACATACAAATATTCTTAATTTATAAGTCAGGGAAAAATAAAAAGAAAACATCCCAAATAAAGTGCTCAGGTAGTGTAACTGCAATGTAGCTTAACTTTAAGGTTAAAACTGCAAAATTAAACTAAGAAATGAGAAAACAGGCAATTTCATCTTTCACAGTTGAGAGAGGATATTATTTTAATGTAATGCTAACCTAGCAATGTTGTAACTGTAAAACTGGAATTGAACAGAAAATAAAACTGTAAACAAGCTGAAGAGCAAAAAAAAAGTATGATACTTGCCTGCGGCTGGTTGTTTTCTTTTCTGTCTTAGCTTCTTCCTCTTGAACTGGTGGTTTAACAGCTTCATTTGCATCAAGTTTCAACTTTTTTGCAATACGTTCTTTCATTTGAAATCTCTCATTGCTAGCAGCTTCATCTTCTACACTATCAGCACCTTCATCATTTTCTTCTTCCTCCTTTATTGGTTTAAAGTTAGAAAATGTCTCATTTAGCTTTTTTTTTTTTGTATTGTTTTAAATTACAGAATTTTGAATATGGAAACTTCTTACAAAGATAACCCCTTACTAAAACAAACAAGCAAAAAAAAAACCACCCACCATTTAAAAAAAATGTTTCAAAGCAAAGTTTTAAAACAAGTATATCCTTATTTGCTTCAGAGGGAACAAAAATGCAAAACTGTAAAAATTAAAAAAAAAATCATACACAAACCACATCTTTATGTAACACTTAAAAAACTAAAACAGTCTAGACTTTAAGTCCTTATAGGTCTGCAGAAAGTCTAACAGCAAGGCAGTATTAGTCTGATTGTTGTTCATGGATTCAAAACTTGATCAAGGAAATACATTAAACACTTCCTTAATCTTCCATTAAAAGAAAACAAAACTCATTAAGGTTTCCTGCTACAAGGCTACTATCCTATCATGAATTTAGACAAGAATGTAGATCCAACAAGGCAGATTGCATCGATGGGCAGAGGCCAGTGGGATGAGGTTCAACTTGGCTAAGTGCCAGATCCTTCACTTTGGCCACAACAACCCCATGCAGAGCTACAGGCTTGGAGCAGAGTGGCTGGAAAGCTTTGCAGAGGAAAAGGACCTGGGGGTGCTGGTTGATGCTCACCTGAACATGAGCCGTCAGTGTGCCCAGGTGCCCAAGAAGGCCAACGGCATCCTGGCTTGTGTCAGGAATGGTGCAGCCAGCAGGAGCAGGGAGGTGATCGTCCCCCTGTACTCTGCTCTGGTGAGGCCGCACATCGAGTGCTGTGGTCACTTTTAAGCTCCTCGCTACAAAAAGGGCATGGAGGCACTGGAGCGTGTCCGGAGAAGGGCTATGAAGTTGGTAAAGGGCACAAGTCCTGTGGGGAGCAGCTGAGGGCACTGGGGTTGTTTAGTCTGGAGAAGAGGAGGCTCAGGGGAGACCTTATGGCTCTCTACAGCTACCTGAAAGGAAGGTGTGGGGAGCTGGGGGTCGGCCTCTTCTCACAGATAACCAGTGATGGGACTAGAGGGAATGGCCTCAATGGCGCCAGGAGTGGCTCAGGTTGGAAATGAGACATTTCTTTTAAGAAAGAGCGGTCAGGCATTGGAATGGGTTGCCCAGGGAGGTGGTGGAGCCACCGCCCCTGGATTTATTCAAGGAACGTTTGGACTTGGTGGTTAGGGATGTGGTTTAGTGGATCACATTGGTAGTAGAGGGATGGTTGGACCAGATAATCTTGGAGGTCTTTTACAATCTTAATGATTCTATGATTCTGTAAGATAATTGAACTGGCCATCAATGAGGAAATTTACAAATGCCACTTGGATCAAAAGAGTTTGCAAAAACCTATGGAATCAATCATCCACATTTCCTACAGAGGTATTGTGATTCTAGACCTAGCAGATGAAGACAAAAGGGATAAACCACCTCCATTTAAAGACATTTGAGGGGAGAAATAACTAATTCCTATCAACAATGAGGAAGAAGCAACTTGACTGAACCGATGCCTCTGCACAGCAAAGCTTCCTTGAAGAAGGAAGCCCACTTCATCTTCCATAGAAGGATGCCAACCCAAAATCTAGATCACACATCTCTTGATGCTTTGCAGCGGTGCTAATTAGCAAGAGACTGCATAAGATGCTATGTGATTGTCATTTTATCCATACATAGAGAAAGAACAGACTTCGAAATCGTATTCAAGAGAACTGTACTGTAACCAGGATACAGCCAGGATGTCAGCACGGGGAGAAGATACCATCAATCTTAAGAGAATGTATTTGTTGTGTGTGCTACTTGTCAGTCACACAAGTATAGCATGATGACCATGGTAATATAGATAGGGAAGGAAAGTGGAGGAAAAAAAGGAGTTAAAAAAACAAACAAACAGAGAAAACAAATAAACTTTCCAAAGCATTTGTTTACTCACTAAGCTATCAGGAAGACAGGATAACAACAGACCTTAATGGCAGGGGGGCAGAATCCAGTAAAGGAACATGACAGGACTTTGTTCAAGGCATTTAATAGCCAGGAACAAAGACAGACTTCTGGTGGAGATCTGGCTAGGTGTTAGGTAAGAACATTCCACTGAAACACAAACAGATGGATAGGAGAACTTCTAGAAAAAAAAAAAAAAAAAAAAAAAAAAGAGAACTCTAGACTAATTGCAAGTACTAAGCAGCAATTTAAAATTATGAGGAAGGTTCCATGGATACCTGTTTAAAACGTAAGACAGAAAATGACTCAACTTGTCCAAGTCAGATGAACACCCCACTTCCAGAACCTTCAATTTTTCTCAACCTACACAGACTTTTTCACATTTATTTTACAAAAACACTGACAAAATAGTAGAAAAATAGAATGGTTCAGATTGGAAGGGACCACCAAGTTCCATGGGCAGGAACACCTCCCACCAGACCAGGCTGCCCAAAGCCCCATCCAGCCTGGCCTTGAGCACTTCCAGGGATGGGGCATCCACAGCTGCTCTGGGCAACCTGTGCCAGGGCCTCACCACCATCTCTGTGAAGAATTGCCTCCTAACATCTAACCTAAACTGTAGTTTAAAGCCATTATGCCTTGTCTTATCACTACACTCCCTGACAAAGAGTCCCTCCTCAGCTGTCCTGTGTGCCCCCTTTAGGTACTGGAACACTACTATAAGGTCTCCCCAGAGCCTTCTCTTCTCCAGGCTGAACAACCCCAACACCCTCAATCTGTCTTTATAGGAGAGGTGTTCCAGGCCTTTGATCATCCCCATGGACCTCCTCTGGACTTGTTCTAATAAGTCATATAATATCTTGACTTGGAAGGTATCCAACAAGGACCAGAGTCCAAATCCTGTCTCTTCTTAAAAATGGTGGTCATGTTTCCCCTCTTTCAGTCAGTGGGAACTTCACCAGACTGCCACTTCTCATATACGATGGACAGTGGCTTAGCAATTAAATTCACCAGTTCCCTCAGGACCCACGTGTGTTTCTCATCAGGTCCCACAGACTTGTGCAGTTTTTGGTTCCTTAGCTAATCTCAAACCTGATCTTCTAGAACAAGAGGTTCTTCATTATCCCAGTCCCTGCCTTTGCCTTCTGGGGCCCAGGCCATTTGACTAGGACTCTTGCTGGTGAAGACATAGGCAAACAAATCATTGAGTACCTCAGCCTTCTCTATATCCCAGGTAGCCAGGTCTCCCATTGCCTTTCAGAGAGGGACCACAATTTCTCTCTTCTTCCTTTTATCACTGATGTATCTATAGAGTCCTTTCCTGTTGCCCCTGACATCTCAGGCCAAATTTAATTCTAATAAGGCTTTATATATGATATAGCTCTCCTCAACTCTTTCCCTCTAGTGGCTTCCCTTATTTTCTCTTGCCCAGTCTCCTCTTTCAGTCCTTCTATTGTCTCATTAACTACATCTGACTTCATTTAGACTTTTTGCTGACGTCTCATTTCCAACTAATAAATTTAACAGATTTCCAGCCCAGAGCAGTCTACATGACAACTTCAGACGAAAGTTGCTGTTAAGGTGGATAATGGCGTCCCCTTGGTGACAAAGAAATGCTAAACTTCTTGTCCGAAAGCTGAACTAGTGTTTGCTGCTGTTGTTAATTGAGTGGAGTTGCTCCCATTCTTCAGTTTGCTCTAGAAATAAAAATGTAATGGCAGATTTTGTGCCAGAATGACTAGGAGCTAATGTATCTAATATGACTTAGCCATTTGAGAAGATTATTGATTTTGAGGGAGTGGAGAGAAGAATATAAATTCTATCTATCCATAGTACTACCTGAAACTTACTGTTCAGTAACCAGCTCGCAAATAGGGAGATAAAAACAAGTTTTTACTGAAAGGACACAAAAGAAAGTCACTGGTAGGGAAAAAAAAAATCAGTCTTGTGAACACACTACATAAAATGTTTTCATTAATGACTTAGGCACAAAAAGAGGCTTAAAAGCAGCAATGTGGGATTGTTAATACATAGGATCTGACTCTCAAAGGATGGATGACCTTGAGGACTACAGTAATAGAAACAAGATGACATTTGCATGAACAGCAAAGTCTGGAGATTCAAGAATAACAAGAATTTCTCACATACACTATGGACTTGTAATTTTGGGTTGGTAAAGAGATCTGGAAGAATTATTTGCCCACAGGATGACTATAAAACTACCAATGTGTTGCAGCCATGTAAAGGAGAAAGTGATCCTGTAACATGGTAACAGAAATAAATCCAAAAGAAATGATAAAGTACTTGTACTACTTTACAAGTCTAATGTAATTGCCTGAAGTGCTAGATTCTAGGTAGTATCTTTAAATGAAATAAAATCTAAGGAGAGCATCTCTGGAAAGAAAAAACTTCCTTATTTCCTGCTTGATGTCATTCTTATGAAATAAGTAACAGCATTCAGATTAACTAGGCTAAAAAATGAAAATTTAAATAAATATACCTAGGGTGTCCCTGTTCAATATTCCTCAACCCCAAGCACAGCTCATTTAACAATGAGATATTTGAACATATGAAGAATTATTAATTACATTCATAGAACCCTTCAAATACTTAAATGCTCCTGCACAACAGGAATTACAGAAGATAAGAGTCCAAGAACCTGTACTTCAACTATGCTTTGTAAAAAAAGGCAACAGGAAACAGAATGGAAATCATAAGAATCACAAGTATCTGAATTGCAACACACCCACAAAGGTTATTGAGTCCAACTCCTGGGTCTCCAAAGGACCACAAACTCACATAAAACCAACCACCCAAACAACAAAAAAAAAAAACACAACACAATGACAAAGTATTTTCTTTTTGTTCAGGTGCAAGAATGGGAAAGAGCGAATCTTTCCTTCACTTTCACAGTACTTTCACAGTCGTTCACTTTTCAAAGTACACCAACTAACAGTTGATAGGTACTGACCTATGCAGTGGACAGATATGAAAAGCAAAGTACTTATGAGGATACAATTTAGGGAACATGAGATTATAATCCCAGTCAAATATTACATCCATGTCTCAACAGCAACTCAAAGTATTATTCCATCAAAGTGTTATCCCATCACCTACAGCTGTGGGCAAACTCTTACTTCAGCAAGCAATTTTATCCTGCACCATCTGTGACAATGTCTTTGAAATTAAAATACCCTCAATTTTTGGTTGCTTGTCCCATTTATTACTACTTGCTTACTTTTTGTAAATTTCCCATCTTTCAGAAGTGACACTTCATCAATATTATTTTTAGTGATATTGAAATTTTGTTTCCGTGAAGAAATATTTCCAACGGGATTCTTATTCATTCATAATTTCTCTTCACAGAATCACAGAATTTCTAGGTTGGAAGAGACCTCAAGATCATCGAGTCCAACCTCTAACCTAACACTAACAGTCCCCACTAAACCATATCCCTAAGCTCTACATCTAAACGGCTTTTGAAGACTTCCAGGGATGGTGACTCCACCACCTCCCTGGGCAGCCCGTTCCAGTGCCTAACAACCCTTTCAGTAAAGAAATTCTTCCTAACATCTAACCTAAAACTCCCCTGGCGTAACTTTAGCCCATTCCCCCTCGTCCTGTCACCAGGCACGTGGGAGAATAGGCCAACCCCCACCCGCTACAGCCTCCTTTAATGTACTTATACAGAGTGATAAGGTCACCCCTGAGCCTCCTCTTCTCTAGGCTGAACAAGCCCAGCTCCTTCAGCCGCTCCTCGTAGGACTTGCTCTCCAGGCCCCTCACCAGCTTCGTCGCCCTTCTTTGGACCTGCTCAAGCACCTCGATGTCCTTCTTGTAGCGAGGGGCCCAAAACTGAACACAGTACTCGAGGTGTGGTCTCACCAGAGCCGAGTACAGGGGAACAATCACTTCCCTAGCCCTGCTGGCCACACTGCTTCTGATACAAGCCAGGATATGTTGGCCTTCTTGGCCACCTGAGCACACTGCTGGCTCATATTGAGCCGACTACCAACCAATACTCCCAGCTCCTTCTAACCTCTTCAGAGGTTAGATTTTAGTTTCATTTATGATAAATTTCATTTTATTCCTCTGTACCTCTTCTTCCCCCCCCCCTCCCCCCCCCCCCCCACACTTGGCAATTTTAGGACTCTTACTAATGGTTTGTCACTCTGTGGTACATAACCTCCACATAACCCCATCTACTGACTGAACTATCTGGTGTTTGTAAACCCAGCAGGTGGCACACAGAAGCATCTCCACCCTGCCATCAATGTTCACAATGGCCAAACCTTACAGATCTGAATGAACCACCAGTCTTTTGCTGAAAATCTGACTTGAGGTAGCTGTCAAAATCCTCAACAGCAGCATTTGTTTCCGTAAGAAAATAAAATTCACATACAATAAAAACAAACAAAAAACCTACAAAGACTGATTTGTAAAAAAAAAATAATAAAAAAAGTTACTTACCTCACTCATGTCTTCATTTGCTGCTTCACTAAAAAAATGAAAAAGAATCTTAAATCTTCTCTAGTATTTCAAAATTAAGATATTATTTAAAAAACACAGGTCTTGAACTAAAATTTTTGTTTAACTACTTGAAATTTTAGTCATATAAGTCATAGTCTATCATTTGTCATAATCCTTTCTGAATAGAAATGTTTAAGAACACAGGAGAAAACTTCAAGCTACAATACAATAGATATATCCTATTACTAAGTATATCTTGAGCTATCCAGACAAAATGCCAAGTTTTTAGTTTCTTGATGAAAAAATATAATAATGATAACTATTAAGATTATTTTAAAACTTTAGGTCAAACAATTTTGGTTCAAGAAAAGAACGTGATTAGATAAGTAGATAGAATACTGTGGAATAGCCCTGGATATCAATTTGGACCAAAACATAACCAATTAATGGACGCAATCTAAGTGCAATATCTTATGAGTGTAAGTAAAAAATTTAAACAGTACAAGAATACTGTCAGATAAAATACACAAGTGGGTATGTCATTATGTCTTCTGACTACCTTTTGCACTACATTGCTGATAGAAGAAAAAAAAATCATAACACACTGTTAAGATGGTTGCTTTTGATCTCATATCAATTCTTAGGATTTCATTGCAAATAATGCTTTGTATTTCAGAAAGCCTTCTTTATAATAGGAATGCTTTACTTGTACTATACTGATGGCTGAATTTAAAATCAAAATTTTTATTTGTTATAAAGCCACAGTTTAGCACATTAAAAAAAAAGAATCCATATGGATATACTAAAGCTAACATATCCACTGTTATTTGTCACAAACAAATAAAGACCCTTGAAGATTTTACTGTGACAAAATTTGTTATAATTCTGTCAAAATAGTTATTTTAGAGAAAGGAAGGAATATTGAAAGAGTCCCTAAATTCAAGGCTTTGAGGTGTGCACATATAAATAATTAATCAGGCTCATCAAAGAAACAATGAGCTTGTTGAAACCAATGACATCAACTTCATTTAAAAATAATCCAGAAATTTCACTGCAAAGTAATTATTTCTTAAGAGGAGACTAGAATTTTAAAAGTAATCTAAAAGTATTAAATATTTTGGATATATCCTGGTATATAATTCTGATGTCAGTGCTGAACAAGTAGGAGCTAAAGTAAGAGGTAAAATGGCCTACTTGGGACTTGTGATGTGCGTGTTAGCCTTTGTGAGTTTTGAATGGGCTACACATGAGCTGTCTGATTATTTGGACCCGCACAAGATCTCTAACCAAAGGTTTTTAAGGAAACTAAATAGCTCTGAGATGGCAGATGCACTAATAAATAAATGGTTAAAAGACACAAAACAAAAGTTACCAGCAAACAGTTACTTCTGGAAGCAAAGACTACCAGTATATTTCCAAAGTAGTGTGCTAGGTAGGTCTTCCAGCTCAGTAACAAAGCTTTCAAACTTTCAAAGTTTTCAACTCAGTAACAAAGTAGGCAAGCAGCCAGGTTGCTGTGTTTTTGATGATACAATGTTACTCAAGATAGTGAAGACAAGAGGAGATGCAGATCAATTTCAGAAGGACAAGAATGATGAAACAACAAAATAAGAGATGAAATTTGAAGTAGGTAAAAGTAAAGCAATGCACATGTCGAAAAAGAATCATAAATGACAAGGAGCTCTGAGCTGAACATCACTGATCATAAACAAATTCTTGGACTTGAGTATTGAGCTAATTCCATGAAAATGTATCAGCAAGGTTTTGAAAAACAATTCAGAAGTTAAGAATGAAAAACCAAAGACCATCTTAATGCAAGCATATAAACTTACTATTCACCCTCACTTTTAATTTCTTTAGATTAAAAGCAAATTTTTAAAAAGCATTTTAGAACAGAAAGGAGGTCAGAGAAGAGTAACAAGAATAACCACTGATACAAAACTACTCACACATCTTCCATTTGTGTGAGTTTTAAGAATTTGGAAAAGAGATGGCCTAAGAAGGTATTGTAGTAAAGAGAGGTATACAGGGACTGGCTGCTCACTGTCTCTTCTGCTTAAGAGCTAGAATTTTCCAAATGAGGCCAGTAGCAGCTAGGTTCAGAACAAAAAGGGGAGGTATTTATTCCTGCCAATAGACAAGAAGGTGCAAGCGTAAAAAACATTGCAAAAGGAGACTGAATAAATACTTTGAAGAGAACCCATTTAAGGATTACTAAACAGATGAACCATATGAAACTCTGACAGTCCTCTGAGCTGAAAGTAGTTGGCGGCTGTAAGACTACTCAGGGAGACATTATGTTTGCCATACTTTATTCTTTGCTGGGCCAATGGCTGCTGTTGGAAACAGCATTAGAGGAAGATTTGGTCTGGTCTGATCTAGCACTGCCACTCTTACTTTCTTAGAGTAACAGACAAACAATGAGTATATGTGATGCTCATCAGGTCTAACATTTGAAATTAAATCTAACATGAAATTAAATCTACTCTGGAATATGGAAATCTTGTATTAACCTTTTGACAGCAGGAACTGAGCTTAGGTGTGGATCATCCTTCAGTAGATCATGACTGCTTTTACTTTTTCCTTTCATACTCTGTTAAAAAAAAAAAAAGAAAAAGAAAAAAAAGGTGTTACAAATTTCAATGTTTGACAGAATATATGGTGAAAGGGGTAATGGTAGTAATAGAGTGGATAATAAAACCTGATTCTGATTTATAAACACCCTCTTTTTTTATTTTATGTTGAAAAAAGACTAACACATTCGACAACTTGAAAAATTACTTCTGTCAACTGGTAATGGGGAGCAGGGGAAGGAGGAGGGAGTGCATGTTCAGGAACTAAATGAAGCACATGACAGATGCCTAACACCTTTGTAAAGTGCACCAAACAAGTGCAGACAATTAAACCAGCAATTCAGACACTGAAAGCTTCAGTTTAAACACCAAGTGACAATCTGTGGAGCCAACACAGTCAGGTCCCAGAGTACGTTAATATGCCTTGATGGCCTTGAGAAATTTCACTTGGACCTCCTTTACTTACAAGCACCATTTCAGCTCACACCTGTGAATACAGTCACTGCCTGAGCTACATCCTGTGTCTAGCTCTGGGACAGACATTGTAGCCTTGTCTCCACTCTGTCTCCTGCCTCATCTCTTTCTGCTTCCTGCTAGACTCCCTGGATGGGCACCTTTGTCTTGGTTATTGCCTGCCTTGTTCAAGACTGTCAATGGATCCTGTTACCAGAAACCAGCTCTGCCTGCTGTACCCAGATGCTGTAGGACTACAACCTAGTTGGTGAACACAGAGCCTGTGCTAGAATCACCCTCATGCAGCCATCCTGCTCTTCCTCTTCCCTGATACAAACTTGATACAAGTCCTGTGATCTCCACCTTCTATAGCCTACTGGAATACACTTATTTTCTTTCTAATCTTCATGTCCTACACAATCCAACCATTTAAATATCCACCTGATAATGGAAGATGTAATTTGACCGGTAACACCTAACAGCCATTGGTGGCCCTAAACTCAATGAATTTATATAATCCCTTTCTGAAAGTATATACACTTCCTACTTCCATCATGTTCTGTGGCATAGATGTTCACAACTTAAATTCCTAAACGGAAAACAAACAAACAAAACACTTTTCATGTGGTAATTTATTTGCTCATTTATCTTTGTGTCTTAACTCTCATGTTGTGAGAAACAGCGAATAATTGTTCAAAAAAATTTTTTTTAAGTTACCATCACCTGTATTTCAAACTATTCTCCTTTTTAGTATAGTTTCAGGGATAAGAATCTAAACTATAGTTACTATGAATATGGTGATACAATGCAGCACAGGCAAAATGTACTCTGTGTCTTAGGCTTAATGGAGTATTCTCAACTTTCAACTTCAAATTTTCTTACTGAAGACCAAAAATGAAAGTTGATGCTAAAGTCCATGCAACAAGATATCCAGAACCATAGAGATTCTGATCTAATATCTAGATTGATTAGAGATAAGCAATCTGGTTTGGATAAAAAAAAAAGTTTTCACTCTGCTACAAAGAATTAATAGAACTTCTTTATAAACAGTCAGTTTAGTTTTCCCAGATACAGTTAGTACAAAATTTAGTCAAGACAATTTTAAGACTGAGTTGGAAGACATCATGACAGTACTGAAACTAGGCTTGTTATGATAAAGATGTTATATTTAGATAATTTTAAACTGAAGAACAAGTATCTTGGGTGAAAGGGAAGAACAAAGCAAACAAGTTAAATGCAGTATTAAAAAAAAAAAACAAAAAACAGACATGTACCAAGAGTAGAATGGCAGATACGCATGTTGTTATGGTAAACAAGCACAGTTAATCTGACAGTGTAAGTCAAACTAGGAAAGAAAAAAAGAGTTAAAACTGTAATAAACTTCCACTACCCTGACACTATCTCATTGTAATATTATGCACCTTTGTATTCACTGTTGTCTTTTATATTTTACCTAAATCCCTAGGGCTGAAAACTGTTTTTTGTTTGTTTGTTTTTTAATTTATGTTGGCACAGTACTCAGCACAGTGTAGTCTCATCACTAACTGAAGGAGCTAGGCCCCTGAATCATTCAAGTAAATTAGAAAGTCCAGAGCTCTAGAGAAATAATTTGGTCAGTAGTAGAAATGAAGAAGACAATTTACCAAAGATATTTCTAAACTAACCTTATTTAACTGGCAAAGTCCAATATAGAAATGTTAGATGAAAGACTACCTGTGCAACTCTAGTTCTTTGAATGTGGACAATTCATACTAGTGAAACATTCCAATTACAAAAATGCACTGTTTTTCCCACAACACCACTGCCTCACTCTGGACACAGAATGAATATACGTAACAAAATACAGCTAAGAATTTGCTGGTAATGAAAAAGTTGACTTTTTCAAGTTCAACTGTTTTACCATCAAATAGTCTCATAATTAATGAGGTGAAGAACAATAAAAAATCTATCACCTCCAAGAATTTTAAACAGCAGAGATAGCTCTACACTATGAAGTATGAAACAATTTTTTTACATTTCCATAACCACTACCATGCAGTAACTGACAGCACCTTCTGAGTCAGAAAAGTTAAAAATCTCTTTCTTCTACACATCAAAATTAGTAGACTCATGAAACTAAGGTCACTTCTGGTGTTGTTGTTCAAAACTCAAATATAAGAACAATATTAAGAACTTAAAGTTAACAATTTATTTGTTTGTGGAAGAAATTAAAGTTGAAAAGAAAAGTGTGGATGGTTTAGTACCTGACTAACTCTGTTGACTTCCTCCTCTTCTTCTTCAGCTTCTTCCCCAAAGGAAAGTAGGTTAAAATTTCTTTAAGAAAGAAAACACATTTTCTAGTAAAACTTTAAATGTTGTTTCATTAACATCCCATAAACTTCAAATATTTTACTTCCATATTGCATGTAGGATTTTGTTTTTAACTTTTTTTCCCCCCAATAAACGTACCAATTTCTAACAAGTATAACATGTTTTTACAATAAACAGTGTTTAACTTAAGCAGTATTTAGGAAGTAATGTTTCTATTCTATACTTGAGACAGAACAATCAGGGTAATTACAAGTTAAAGTAGTTTAAAGTCACTTACAAAACAGCAAGACAATGTAAAACCTTCTATAAATTCATAAATGCTGACAGATTTGTATTTTTTTTTCTAATATAGCAATATTCAAGTACCAAACACAAAAAACTTAAAGATACAACAGCTGAGAAAGGCATTAAATGCATATAATCACAGAACGTAATTCTGTGATTATTTTTCTTTATTTTTCTTTTTACCCTGTGTTGGAAACAGCTATTTGCAATATGATCTACTTATGTCCAACAAAATTGACAACATGTACATAGTTCAGATTGCCTATTACTTTTCATTAAATGTTTAAATCTACTAAATTTAATTCGCAGAAAGTGAAGTTTCCTATGTCTAGATGTTTGCCTTTTACCGAGTATTTTAGTGGGAGAGAACTGGTAGCTGATAAAATACTCAAACAATTGAGCCCAAGTTAATAACATGCATTAACTTCTGTGTCATTTCAGTCACAAAAGAATGATTGCATATTCCTGCCACAGGCTTACACTATACTTATAGAATCATAGAATATCCTGAGTTGGAAGGGACCCTTAAGGATCATCAAGTCCAACTCTTGACACCGCACAGGTCTACCCAAAAGTTCAGACCATGTGACTAAGTGCACAGTTCAATCTCTTCTTAAATTCAGTCAGGCTCGGTGCAGTGACCACTTCCCTGGGGAGCCTGTTCCAGTGTGCAACCACTCTCTCTGTGAAGAACCCCCTCCTGATGTCAAGCCTAAACTTCCCCTGCCTCAGCTTAACCCCGTTCCCGCGGGTCCTGTCGCTGGTGTTAATGGAGAAAAGGTCTCCTGCCTCTCGACACCCCCTTACGAGGAAGTTGTAGACTGCGATGAGGTCTCCCCTCAGCCTCCTCTTCTCCAGGCTGAACAGGCCCAGTGCCCTCAGCCATTCCTCGTACGTCTTCCCCTCCAGGCCTCTCACCATCTTCGTAGCCCTCCTCTGGACACTCTCCAACAGTTTCATGTCCTTTTTATACTGTGGTGCCCAGAACTGCACACAGTACTCGAGGTGAGGCCGCACCAGCGCAGAGTAGAGCGGGACAATCACCTCCCTCGACCTACTAGCGATGCCGTGCTTGATGCACCCCAGGACACGGTTGGCCCTCCTGGCTGCCAGGGCACACTGCCGGCTCATATTCAACTTGCTGTCTACCACGACCCCCAGATCCCTCTCTTCTAGGCTGCTCTCCAGCGTCTCATCGCCCAGTCTGTACGTGCAGCCAGGGTTTCCCCGTCCCAGGTGCAGGACCCGGCACTTGCTCTTATTGAACTTCATGCGGTTGGCGATCGCCCAGCTCTCCAACCTATCCAGATCCCTCTGCAAGGCCTTTCCACCCTCATTCGAGTCCACAACTCCTCCAAGTTTGGTGTCATCGGCAAACTTGCTCAAAATACCTTCTATTCCTACATTATAGCGTATACTTACACTTAATAGATTTTTAGTCTCTTTTGCACTGAACTATCAGCATGTACAAAACAGTATATGGCTCAGCTGATGCACAGGAACCACTTTAATCAGAGCAACTAGATTTGTATCATCTCTTTAAGAAATAGAGCTAGGAGATTTTGCTAACATTAGAGAACACTCTTCTTGCATTTTGTTAAACACTTGGGTTTCAAAAGCAGAAATAGAAAATTACCAAGCTGCAAATTAAAGGTAAAAAAAGTCACCACTTATGTTGAATGTATTTACTTTGTGCCTTTTACTTTTGGCTTTTTATCTTCTTCTTCTGGTTTGTCCTTCTTCAGTCTTCTATTTGGTCTTGGAACAATGTCATCAAAAGGATTAAACAAAACCTATGAAAAAAATAGTATTTTAGACATCTCTAATAACCATTTTGTTATGATTAAGTGATTCAATATTTTAAAAATAATATATAAAAGATATACCAGGTTTTCATACTAGAACACAGTTGTCTGAACACTGCAAACAGAAGAATCTTAAAATTTCAAATTTTAAAAAAGAACACACACACCTCACTACTTCTTATTTTGTGTGGACTGAGTGGTCTTTCTTCCTTGTCAACTTCTACTTCAGCCAGCCGCAACATGTTATATATCGTATCCCCTGTAACCTGTCAGATTTATTTAAAAAAAAAAAAAAAAAAAGAGGGGCTTGAAATTGCACCCTTATAATTTTTGTTAATTATTCTGAAAAATGCAAGGCATTTATTATGTGAAGAATTTTGAAAAACAGGTGATTATAGGAAATACTATATACATGTAAGACTTTTTAGAAGAGAGTTAAGTATAGTGCACAAATGGTTTTATTTTTTAAATTAACAGCAAAGTTGAAAGAACACAGTTAGCTAAATGTGTATTTTTGAGAGCGTATACAAGGAAATATGTCAAATTATTAATGGGCACTGTGAAACGGGAAAATAAAAGATATTGTGAGGTAGAAAAATTGTTGGTTTCTTTTCTTTCAGGTAAACCAGGGAAGTGGTAAATTTGTCTTACATTTTTCATTTTCCTGATTCACCTTGATTAAGTACGATTTTCAAACAGCATTTTATAAACTATTACCAGTATTAGATGAGATTAATAAAATTCAGTATCTTTAGTACGAGATTATACAAAAGAAAGTACAGCACTAAAACATCATTTAGAAGAAAAACTAACAAAGCAGATAACGTTGGGAAAAAAACAAGAACATTTCTATCAGACACAGGAAACAAAGAGAATGGAGACAGTTAGAAAGGAGTGAAGTAAATTTCACATGCATATAACAGAATGCAACACTAAAAGAGCCTTTGAACTCAGAGAAACACATAGCTGCTTCTGTCAAACTGGGATTCTTGTCCATGTAGCAGACCTTTCCAAAGATTGTGTGCTTGTTGTTGAGTTCATCTGCACGACCCAAAGTAAAGAAAAACTGGCTGCCATTATCATGGGGCCCGGCATTTGCCATAGCAACAAGTCCTCTTCGATTAAATCGCAGTCGTGAGTGGAACTCATCCTGGAAAAGACAAAAAAGAAAAGCACCATATATTTATATCAACTTACACACACTGAAATGAGCTGTTAATTTAAAAACAAACAAACAAACAAAAAAAAACCAGGACATTAACAAAATGAAAGTAATTTTAATGCCAAGATTGCTTTTAAAAGCTTCTGTTTTCAGCAGTAAAAAATATTTTCCTGGTTCATTCTCTTAGTTCCTGTAATGCAAACAAATGACCAATCTTCTTTCAAAAAAACCCCACAACGCATAATCAACAAACTCTAAAGGAAAAAAATTTGAAGCTACTATACTGATAATAGAAAGAAACAGAAATTAAGAAAATGTAATTTCTGTCTTGTTAACTTTTTCTACGCATTGCCTAATAATTGCTGTTAATTATTTCTGTTGGAATTAATGCTCCCTCCAATACTACAAAAAATCATTCTTAAAGTAACTGCGTTATGTGTATTTCTTGTAAAACTATCATTTCAGTTAATTGCTCTATTTAGGAGAAATCCTAATTGATGTAAGAAAACTGGAGGTTTAATAACATAGCAGTAGTACAGTATTACCCCAATCCAAAGAAAAAACATTTCGTGGAGCATGAAAAGACGGGGGAAGACTTTTGCAGAAGATGAAAGTGGTAAGTAAGATATTAATATCATTGCAGTACCAGAATTCTAAACACTGTAATACTGAATAATATCACTAATTCATAGTAAGTAGTATAGTTGTAGTAGTTGTAGTAGCAACACGCTACTACAGTACTGGGAGTATTTGTTTTGAACTCTGATCAGGTACCAATTTCTTCCAAACTCCATGTTTTTGCCACATGCAGAAGTCTACTCTTGTATCAGGTGGACAGAAGGCCCGGAGACTGGCTATGTAGCTTCATTCACAAACTAAAAGTGTTTGTCCTAAGTGAAATAAAGTAATGAAGCAGAACAGAACACAGCTGCTGTGAAGGTATAGTTTCACTCGGGATATGAGCATCCTGCTCAAGATGAGCAATGCCACTACTATAATAAAAATGAATACATATACAATATTCAGAGACCTTTGCTAACTGAGATAAAACACACAATGTACATTTCTGCATCTTAGTTTGCCACCCAGAATTATAGAATCATAGAATGATTTGGGCTGGAAAGGACCTTAAAGATCATCTAGTTTCAACACCCCTGCCATGAGCATGGATATCTGCTACTAGACCAAGTTGCCCAAAGCTCCATCCAGCCTGGCCTTGAACACTTCCAGGGACTTGGCATCCACAGCTTCTCTGGGCAGCCTTTGCCAGTGCCTCACCACCCTCTGAGAATTTCTTCCTAATATATAACCTAATCTAAATCTGCCTTCTTTTTACTTTAAAGCCATTAATCCTTGTCCTAACACTGCACTCCCTGACAAAGAGTCCCTCCTCAGACTGATATGTCTGTAGTTACAAGGGTCTTTTTTCTTGCCTTTCTTGAAAATTAGAACAAAGGTCCATGTCCTTCTTATGCTGGGTGTTCCGGAGGTGAATGCAGGTGGGGTCTCACAAGAGCAGAGCAGAGGGGCAGAATCACTCCCTCGCCCTGCCAGCCACGTTTCTTTTGATACAGCCCAGGATACAGTTGGCTGTCTGGTCTGCAAGCACACATTTCCCAGCTCATACTGACTTTCTCATCAACCAACATGCCCAAGTCCTTCTCCTCACAACTGCTCTCAATTCATTCTCAGCCCAGCCTGAATTTGTGCTTGGGATTTCCCCAGCCCAGGTGTAGGACTTGTGTTTTGCATTGTTGATCCTCCTGAGGTTAAAACATACAAACACCTACTCTGAACGATTCCCTCCCATTCTTCCTTGGGAAAGTGCATGTTAGTAAGGTTATGCATTTATTATAGCATCAGAACAGATAGATTTTAGAACTCTCAATTAAAAAATTGATACTTAAAAATATTGAAGCAACATGTGAAAGCAAGTATACAGTATACAAATAAACTTGCCTTTCTTACGTAACGTTAGCTGTCTTGCAGCCTAACAGAGTAGGAAAAACAACCGCTAGGGACTTATCAAAAACTAATGCATAAGATACACCTTTATGTACCTTGAAGGGAGCTCCATATATTGATTCTCCGCCTGATCCAGTACCAGTGGGATCACCTCCTTGCACTATAAAACCAGGCACTACTCTGTGAAATATTGTGTTATTGTAATACTCTGAAAAAGAAAAGGAAAAGATCATCCAGTATATTTAAATGGTCTCAAAATCAAACTCCATGTAAATTATGCAGACACATCAATGACTAGAGTTCTAGAAGACAACCACTGTAATTGGATTCTGCTGTTTTGAGTAGGTTGCCTTGTCTTCCACTGACTTACACAGTGTGACTGTATCTCACCTACAAAGTATTGCTGATTACATTTATGAAAATAATTGTGATATCATAAATTTCTGCTGCAGAAGGTATTGCACATCACTGACAAGATATCGTTATTTTCTTTACAGCATTATCACTAGATAGTACTGAAACACATATCCACCAGATAGTGCCACCAACATATATTGTTTTAAAGAGAGAGTCATCTACCACATCCTGTCTCAGACAACATCTCACATATAGTTATTCATATTCCAACACCAAATGGTTAGCATTTTCACTCACCAGCATGGAACACAGGTGTTATCCCTTTCACCTATACTGTACACAGATTGATAATCTTCTTATTGTCTCTCTCTCTGCATATGTATCTCTCTATAGATACATATTTTATTATAGATAGATAAATGTATCTGAAAAGTGTTATGAGATTGAATGAAAACATAAGGATTGAGAATGTAACACAACATATATTTCCTGTTTATTTTTTTTTAAATCTGCAGTATGCTGCCAGACGAAGAAGGATCTGCCAGAGATGCAGTACAGGTACATATGTTCATGGATGATTATACTCTATGGTATTCAAAAAGGAAAACACTCGAGTTTACCATACAAAGCACAGAATCCAACACAGTAGTCACACAAATTCAGAAAGAAATTAAAGTCCATTTTTTTTTTTTTTAAGACTAAGAATAACTGAAGGTTACTCCCAGGACTCAACAAGGGCTGAGAAGTTGATTTACCATTGCAAGAAAAAAATCCACACCTACACATATGTAAGAGCACAGGGCAGACTTGATCTGTGCAGGAGGCACAAATCCCAGACTGCTATTTTTCCTTAACAGAGGAGGGCTAAAAAAACTCTTAACAACCCTATAAATGTATAAATGGGATAACAGCAGCAGCTAGAAAACACATAAAAGGGAAAGGTCCTTTGCACATTCCTGGTGTGTTTTTCCCAACACAAAACTTCTCATTCTGGTACCTGCTACTTAAGTGAAAAGTGTTACAGAGCTTCAGACAATGAAAAACTACGTCAAGTGAAATATCAAAAATGATCCTGAAAAAAAAGTAAATAAAGACAATGATACAGGAATAAGCTTAACAGAGGATGTCTAGGTATTGCATCACTGCTGTTTCATTCATTCATTCAAGCAGTAATTGTACTTTGCAGAGACTTGTCAAAAATAAGCTTTCTAAGTGTTTTACGCCACCTACATTTCAAAAATTTTTTTCTATTTTTTGCCAATAGGCTCCTTAAAAACCTTGAAATATATTCTCTTCCTGGGCAGTAATTAATATTTTCTAAATACAAATAAGTACGTTTTAACTTTAATATGTTAACTCATTATGAATTCTCCATAACAAAAAAGTACCAAGACATCAATATTACATATGAACTAATTTCAATAAATCCTATCCCATTCAGTCATTACCTTCCATACAAAGCTGGATGAAATTTCGACATGCTTTCGGTGCTTCTTTTGACCACAACTCTATATCAATATCTCCTGCTGTTGTTCTCAGCAAAACCTATAAAAATATCGATAAATTCACCATTAGTTTTCTTGCAACTTAGACATTGATCAACAAATATTGTAACTGAGTTAAAAGATAGTTTGACAACATTAGTAACAGCAGTAGATATCCAAATGTTGCTGGGCAGCTATGGTTAGTTTTAATTAGTTTTGTCAGTATTTATGATACAATTCTGAAACAGTAAATATCATAGAGGTTGGAAAAGGCCTTCAAGACCATCTGGTCTGACCATCCTTCTACTACCAATGTCACCCACTAAACCATGTCCCTAAGCACCACGTCCAACCTCTCCTTAAACACTCCCAGAGATGGTGACTCCACCACCTCCCTGGGCAACCCGTCCCAGTGCCTGACTGCTCTTTCTGAAAAGAAATGTCTCCTCATTTCCAACCTAAACCTTCCCTGGTAAAACTTGAGGCCATTCCCTCTAGTCCTATCACTAATTACCTGCGAGAAGGGGCTGACCCCCATCTCCCCACACCTTCATCTCAGGGAGCAATAAGGTCTCCCCTTAGCCTCCTCTTCTCCAGACTGAACACCCCCAGTGCCCTCAGCCGCTCCTCACAGAACTTGTGTTCCAGGCCCTTCACCAGCTTCATAGCCCTGCTCTGGGCACACTCCAGGGCCTCGATGTGTTTTTTGTAGCTTAAAAGTGACCACAGCACTCGAGGTGCGGCCTCACTAGGGATGAGTACAGGGGGACGATCACCTCCCTGGACCTGCTGGCTGCACCATTCCTGACACAAGCCAGGATGCCGTTGGCCTTCTCGGCCACCTGGGCACGCTGCCGGCTCACGCTCAGGCGAGCACAGACCTGGACTCGCGCACATCTTTGCACACCCAATTCCCCGAGGCAGCAGCCGGGAACCAGCGCCGGCCCCACGGGAGCACGCGGCTCCTTCCCGCAGCCTCCCACGGGCGGCGGCAGCCCCAGCCCCCCGCGGGCCTCACCTTGCCGTTGGTGGGGGGCTCCTGGATGTAGATGTTGCTCATGGCGGCCCCAGGGGGCACAGCCCCGGCCGCTGCCCGCGCCCAGCGCCGCGCCTCTACCCGCGACACAGACCCCAGGCGCCCGCCATCTTGGGCGCCTCCACACGGCCCGAGCAGAGGGGGAGGCCGCCCAAAACAACAAGAAGAAGATGGGGGTCGGCCCCCGACCGGAGACACAGCGGGGAAAACTGACGAGAGATTTGTTTTTAAGGAGATCCGGAGGGCTCTCCAGGCAGCTCAGTCCCTCCCTGTGCCTCCCGCCCGGCCCTGAGTCGTCCCGTCCCCCCTGCCAGTAGCACGGCCCGAGAGTGCGCCGGGCAAAGCCTTCCGGCGGGGAGAGGCGGCGGGGCCGGGCCGGGCCGGGCCGGCGGGGACAGCGCGGGAGGCGCCATGGCGCTGCCCGGTGAGGCCATGGCGGCGGCGGCGCGGGGCGCGGGGCGCGGGGCGAGGGGCGAGGGGCGAGGCTCGGTCGCAGCCCGGGCTGTGAGGGGGGGAGGAGGGCGGCCGGGGGCCTGTGTGCGCGGCTTGCTTGCTCCTCTATTGATTGATTGATTGATTTTTTATACTTTATTTATTCTTCCTTTCTTCCTTTCTCTCGCTTCTCTGCCGCACCTCTCCCGAGGAGCGGGTCCGCTGCTGCGGCGGGGCGGGGGGGGGGCAGCAGCCAGGAGGCGGCCGCCGTGAGCGCAAGGTGTTAGAGCCCCGCCAGACACACCTGCAGGGGCTGGCTGCTTTCCTTCTTTTCCTTTCTTTTTTTTTTTTTTCGTTTTCCTGAGACATGAGGAGTGTTCAGCTGGAGAAAACCGAGTAGGTCTGGATCTTGCTAAGAGCTTAAAAAAAAACAAAACAAAACAAAAAACCAAAATCCTCTCATATGAAGAAGAGAAAAACTGAATAAACTCGCTCCCATTCTAGGAGGGGGGTTTATTAAGGACGAGATCTCACGTTTGCATTAAAAGGTTTGCGGAGCTTTTTTCTTTGCAGCCTTGTGGCCCACTGAGTGAGCGGCGCCCTCCCTTAGCGATGGTTGCTGCTCCCTCAGTTGCTGTTTTTACCAAGTGTTCACAGGTGGGAAGAAGTGAGAAAGAGAAGCTTCTAGTAGCTCGTGTGCTTTTAATTCCATAAAACTGCATTTCTAGCAACGTTGTTTAAAGCCAACATAATAATAATAGAATTTTGGCCTCAGGAATTTGGTGGGAGCAAGGAAGTTCAATAAAGACCTAGTAAACCTGTCCTCTAGGTAGGTGATGGTGTGGGGGCGTCTTAAATTTTTCAGACTTTGTCAACAGGGTCTAAGATGACAGTCTTGCTGTGATTCCTGCTGTGTAAAGGTTTAGCTGCTATACACTTTTTTTTCCAGATTTCTTGGACACACATTTTTTATGTCTTGATGCTTGTTTCCCTGCTGTTTCTCTCTTAAAGATATGCGTGTGTTGTGTGATGTAGCTTTCGGTAAGGATATATGACCTTCACCAGTCCACTAAAGCTGGAGCTGGTGTCAGTTTTCTGACTTACAGGTTTTAACAAATTCAGTGCTATTCTGATCATGTGCTGGGTGATTCTCCTGAAAATCCTGACAAATGGCACCTGCATATGCAGTGGGAGATTGTATAGTGTGTGCATGACTGACTTCCCTCGCATGAACAGTGAATCTTTCTGTACCTACAGGTCATTTACACAGTAGGGCTGAAGTTTATTGAATATTTCAGAAAACTGAGAACAAAGTCGGTAGTTTGAGAGGTCTTGCTTTTGAGTCCAAAGGTGAACTGAACTGGCAGATGCTGATCAGAGTATTTTTTTTTTTTTTGGTATAGTATTGAAGGTGTATTTTTGTTCCTTGTTTCTTAAAACTTTCTTTTCTGTTTCTAGTCTCCTTATTCCTCATGGGTTTCCCTTAAAAGACAGCCACTTATAAAGTAGACACATAAACACTGCTGAATTTGTACACTACAAAGAAGTTACGTAATACTGAGGTTTTGGGGTCTACAGAAGACGGGTTTGAAGGTTCGTCTGCTACTGTGAATACAGTTTTCTAAAGACAATGCTTGTCTCAGTAAATTGAAGTCTACACTTATGGAGCTGATGTACATCCTTTCTGATTTTCTAATTTCTGTCGTGGAATTCTTGTTATGTGTGGTGATTTATTTAAATGAAGGAACTAGTTATTCAGAAAACTGTGCATACAGCTATTTAAGTTGCTGTGTTTTTCATGCACTATTCAGTTTAAGGACAGAAAGGCTTGCTTTGATTTTGGAAATTCCATTTTGACTGTCATTATGAATAGACTCAGCAGATTTTAAAATAACACTGATCCTTTCAGGGGAGAGGTCTCCAGAACTTCCCTTTTTCTGAGTTACATCTTACTATGTCTATTTAACTTAACTGTGGGCACACATAGGTATAGAAGGCAACTTTGCCAGAATTCTAAGGGGCGATCATTCTGGTCTGCATGTTGATGTTATCAAGCCAGATTTAAAAGGAACTTAAAGAGTTATGTTAGTAACACGTAATTTATGGATTTTTATCTTTCAGGTGGAAATAAGGATAACATCAGAGCTGGATGCAAGAAATGTGGCTACCGTAAGTTTGTAGTAAGCAAGATGATGATGCAGTACTTTTTTCAATTTAGGGTGATGGAACTACTTTTTGAATAGAAAAAAAAATCCTCCCGTGTTGCATAGACAATTGTCAGGTTAAGCTATTGTATATTTTTGTTTAATTTCCTTTTCATTCTCTTTCTCTTTGCACCTATTGCTGTTTTTGAAGACTTAAGTTTCTCAAGAGAAATAAAAATACTATTCATATGCACTGAGTTCACAATGTCTTTACTTGAGAAACACTGAATTTCAAGCACTGGCTTTGACATATACTGTAGCACTTACTGAGATCAGCATTTATGCATCTTCAGAGTCTCATTGAAGGCTCAAGCAGGCTTTTTTGCCCAAGGAATTTCTGATGCATTTGAAAGAAAAAAGAATAATTTGCATCACCCTCTACGCTGAGAAAGCCTACTTCTTTATGCATTCTGTATTGCAAGAAGCAGTTTATTTTGTTACTTTTAAGTTCTGTAGCTAGCATTTAGCTCATGCTCTTCATTATTCTCTGTTCATAAAAGTATGTCTATGGCTACTATTCTGATGAATGTGTTATCAGGAGATGTGTCTTAGTGAAGATTTAGATTTGTTATTCACTAAGTCTTGTTTTTTGGAAAAAGGAGTGGACACTGATCCGTTTTGAATTGCATTGAACATTTAACACTGTACTCCATGCTATTTTTTGTTTTTTTGAATGTTATGTGGGTTGAAGAGAAAAAAAACTTGCTTGGTTCTTTCACTAAAGACTTTGCTTCCAAGAAATTTTGTCGGTGTATCCCTTCATTGAAAGGAACAGGAGTTTCAAAATAGATTTAGTGGTTCATTTGAAGGTGCAATGTCATATTTCTGGAAGAAAAGGAAACTTGCAGTCAAATCACAAAGCCTATATTTATGTTCCTAAAAGTTCTGTCTTCAAGATGTGAGTTTTTTGATAAGAAGATGAGTTTGTTTCAATTGCTACTTGACCTCCTTTATCTTTAGGTTAGTTTCTCCCAACCCATATCTTCAATTTATTTTATTTTTTGTTATTATTTCCAATAGGTGTATGCAGATTCAAGGGTTTAACTCTGGTCATGATTATGTACAGGTTGTTAAAAATGAATTTTGTCTCAAAAGGGAATGAAATTCTTCTATTTGACTAAAGGGAGACAGAAAGAGCAGTATAACACACTTGTAGTTTTTAAAATATTTCACTTCCTGCTTTTAAACAATTTATTCAGGAAGAATCTGAGACCACTGAAGAAATAGGAAGCAAGATTTGGTCAAAATCTTTAACAGAAATATGAGAGAGGTCATAAAGCATCATTAGATGGAATGGGATTAGATTGCACAGCTTCTCAAAATTCTTTGAGGCATTTTCAAAGTATCCACTCTTGTGCCTTATTCATTGATTGAAGCCTAGTCTAGCTTTTTTTCTTTTATCAAAACTGAGTAATTCTAAAGCTCTTTTGATACTATTTGGTAATTTTGCTGAATTTCTTTCTAAATTTTTGTTTTGTTCAGCTGGTCATCTGACATTTGAATGCCGAAACTTCCTCCGAGTGGATCCTCAAAGGGATATCGTTTTAGATGTTAGCAGCACTAGCAGTGAAGACAGTGAGGAAGAAGAACTACAGAGATTGCAAGCCATGCGTGAAAAAAAGAGTAGGTTTTTTATTTTTAATTAACTTTCTTTAAATCAGATAATGGTCTTCTGATGTGCTGGAACTATCGTTTTATCCTTTTTGAGAATTACTATTAGCTCTTTTAGTCTGTGCTTTAAAGATAAATCCTTTATATATTATGTTTACGCTTCAGAGAAATTATTGTCTTTTTTTATTAATTCCTTTCAAAAGAAATTAATAGTGTACCCATTTGGAACATCCTAAAAAGGGCTTCTTACATGCAAAATATTATAAGATATAAAATATTACAATGTATATTAAATATATATTAATAAGCAGCTGCCTAGAATAACATTACATGGATATTTTGAGTTGATCCTCTGAATACATGTAGTTTGACTATCTTAAAGTTGACAGAAACTCTTAAAAGTAATGACAAATGCGGTAGTTCAGTTTCTCTCTAGTTCCTATGTAATATTTTAGCTAGCTGACTGAAACAGCTAGCCAACTGAATTTCAGCATTGATATTTGGAGAAGTACTGCTCTCTCTTTGGAAGGTCTGTGCATCAACTGTTTGTCAGAAGAAGGTGCATTCATGAGTTAGCAGATACTTTGGTTCATTTTAACTTGGGTTCAAAAGAAGCTGTTCCACTAAGAAAGAAGTGAAGCTTGTTCTGTTATAGTAAGTTCTAAATGAAATAATTTTCTTCTTTCCTTTAATTTAAACATCTTGTTTTGTTCTGTTGCTCTCATATTCCAGACCCTAAACTCAGGTCTAGTAAGGATAATATGCAGGGAGGAGAAATGATGGAGAGAACTCTGTATTTTGCACAAGTTATTTTTGTCAGCATTTCTTGTTTACTGCATTGCCAAAATTAAGTACCTATTATTTATTCATTTGAGGAGGACCTGGGTATTAATTGCTCTTTGCTCTTGATTTCTTTTGCTGGATGTCAATATTTCTGTCCTGTATTTAGCTTTTTACACAATTGCAAAGAGTGGGGGAAAATCAGAAGAGTGACTTTCATATCACGTTCATAGATGTTACATTGGCAGTTAAATCAGATTTATCTTAGTTACAGCTATTTGTGAAGTGTGAAATAAGGCTGTGTGAGTTCAAGTAAGCCTATGGGAATATGTGTCTATTTTTTTCTGTACCTTCAAGTTACATGACCTGATTTCAGACTAGTACAAGTCCTTTAAAATAAAGATGAATAGATATGAAGCCGTAAAGTTGTATGTTTTGCAGGGCGTCCTTCATTCTTAGTGTTCAGACAAATGTCCTTGGAATGTAAGTTATATATTAAATTCTACTACTGTGCAAAATATTTCTGAAATGAATATACTAGTCCAGAATTTGGAGAAAATAAAAGATAAAAATAATTTGATAGTAACTTTACATTACTATTGCAGTCATTCTTCTAATGCTCTTCATAATTCAGTCTGAAATGCCATAAACTTTTATTTTTATCCATAGATTTAAATGAGGAGGAGGAAAAAAAGAAACAAAAAAGAAAAAGCAAAGAAAAACCAAAATTAAAGAGACCAAGGAAAAGGTAACTCTTTCATTTTAATTTCAGAACAGAAATTTAGGAATATTCTGATGTTTGTTTCAGAAAACATTGCTGCTTTGAATCCAGTGGGTTTGTCAAGAACCTTTTTGATTGGAAAAAAATTTCCTATTATCCAGTGAGAATTTGTTTGTTCTGTGAATAATGGTGAAGCCACAGGCTTCTGCTGTGGAGTTAGGACAATGGAAGTCTTGAAAACTATAGCACTACATAGTAGTTCTGGAGGTGTGTAGTTCTGAGAAAGCAGAACTTCTGACTAACTTTTTTGACTTTTTGACTACCTTTTGACTACCCAACACTGGGCAAGATGTGGGGAAAGGAGAGCAAGAAGTGAGAAGGATTATGGGGTTGGTCCCCAGCTTAGCTTATATGGAAAAGCTTACAGGACCTCTGACTTTATTTCTGTGCATATGTGCACACATGCACATCCTTGCTTTTTCTGAGTAGCTTAACAAGCAAAAAATTACAGTTTTTTTTTTTTCCTTTTGATAAGCATATATTGAGTTTTAATGTTCCTGTTGCTGTAAAAGCCTAAGAAAGCATTAGTCTGGTTTCAAAGAAAAGGTCACAATACCCGATTTATTGTGAACTTGAGTTTTGGCCTGCTGACAGATGAGAGTATGGATTTTAGGACTGTTAATGAGATAACAACCCAGGAACTGCACTGAGAGCCAGGGAATGTGGAATGTATTTGGAGGCCAGAATAGGTGTTCTTTCAAAAAGGTGTTCTTTGGAGGTAAAATAAAGCAATAGGATTTAACATTGGCAGTACTGGCATTATTTACATAATGTAGCTGTAACACTTAATGAAGAGTACAGACATGTTAGTCTGCTGACAGTAGTCTTTACATGCAAGAAATTAATAGTCTATCTTGGAAACAATAGGGCAGAACAGTCATTCTGAACAACTCAAGAACCTGAGTACAATAATTGACACATTCCTTTTATTGTCATTTTAATTCTTGCATGTATACAGTCACTTCCCTCATCACTGCTGGTTAGAGACAAATAATACCAGCTGCAAGAGAATCCAAATCTGCCATACCTATTTCTCTTAGATTTTTATATATGTGAAATACATGAATATTTCCCTTAAGGTATTCCCATATTGTTGGAACTGATCATGTGATACTTTACAAGCTGGAAGCTCTTCTTCTGTGTTATACAGTCACTCGTTTTTTTTTGAGGTCTGTGCTCTTCATCTTTTTCTTACTCAAGGTTGCAAAAACACACAACTCGCCTAATCAATTAATCTGTATTGTAAATATACTGCTTTTCTAGCATGATAGACTAATTAGAAAAGTCATTGCTCAGTTGAACATGCAGACTGAGATACCATAAAGTTTCCACTGGATGTTTCTGTATAAATTCTTCACCAAATTTGATTTGCAACATTGTATGAATACTGAAATAAAAATAAAATCTTGTAGCATTTTTCCTTCTCCAATTATCTGTCAATGTTTAATTTGGTCTAGGTCTTCCTCATCAAGTGCTGCTGACGAGGATAGTCCAAAGCCGAAAAAACAAAAATCACACAAGAAGGAAAGGAAAAAGGAGAAGAAGAATAAATCTAAAAAAGGAAAACATCATAAAAAGGAAAAGAAGAAGAAACACAAGGAAAAAAGTTCATCTTCTGACAGTTCAGACAGTTCTAGTAGTGACTAATGTGCTGGCCTATTTTTGCTGTCACTTCTGAAGTGGGATAATTTTCCTGTTAAGTCTAAACTATTTATGCTTTGCAATGCTGTTGTTTTAAAATTATGTATATTTTTTTGAAGAAATCTATTTGGAAATGTTAGTGCTTCAAATAATTAAATGAAACATTTTTTTAAAATATCCTCTTCTATTCCCAGTTTATTAGAATTCAACCATGCAAGTTGAACTAGTTTTTCAACTTAGTTCAGTTGTGATTGGTTGTGTTTTTAATCCTTTACATTAGGATGTAGCAGACTTCAGTTTGCAAGTCTTTGCGTCAGAAGATTTGGATGTAAATATGCTTAATGTTGGAATGGTTAAATCAAATTTAGAAATATTTGAATGATTTTTTAAAATTCCTTTGATGTATATGTTTTGCATAACATTTTCTATTTACACATACTGATTGGTAAGTGCAAATATGAAATAGCATTCAGGTGCAGAAGTGGAGAAGGAAGGGGCAATGAGAAACTAAAAGTCTGCTCCTTCAAAATAACCTGAAATCGATCTGCTAATAGATTTTTGAAACGTGTGATTACAACTTTTTTTTTTGGCAAGATCCCTGTGAGCAAATTGAAAACAAACAAAAGTAAGCAACTATCAATTTTGAAGTCCTTTCCTTCTGCCTAGGTTCTGTTCTTTTGCAATTGCAGCCACTTCATCTATATGAGATAGATTATGAAATACCATTTCTTAACAGTAGATGACCATCCAGCAAGATTATTTACAAAATTCTTAGTACTAAATTAAGACAGTATGCAGTTGTTGATAACTGCATGAATCTAAACAGCAAATTTGAAGACTAAATGAAAAACCTTGAAGTCTCTTTTCATTCTAATAAAACTCCCATATTTCTCTTGTGGGAGGTGAGCATCTATCATGTTGAAGTTTGTAACAGCTTACCATTTGCTGTCAGTAGTCTTTAAGCATGTCAAAATTTCACGATTAGATACTTTGGTGTCCAATTCATACCTTGTACCCCAGTAGCATACAGCTGGTAGCACTGTAGCACTTCCATCGCAATTAGGCATATAGCTGGTAAGTCTCACGGGGATCAAGAGATGAGGAAGAGCAACATTTAAGCTTTCTTAACAATGATATCCCTTGCCTCTAGATCTAACTCCCTCCCTCAAACTTGTATGTCCCAGATGAGTATTCTTTATCATTGGCAATTTTTGAACAGCTCCACTTGCACTCTAGGTGCTGTGGTAGGGAACATTAAAGACAAAATACTCATGGAAGCCACAGAAGAACAAAGCAAAATAACTGCTAACCTCCTCCATTGATATATCAGAGGATGGCAAGAGTGCTTGCATCTGCTCTTTTCTTACTGGTTTTGGTCTGGTCTCTAACTTTCATTCATACATCATGCCTTCTGGGATAATATACCTAAAGAAAGACTAGACTCTTTCATAAGTTAATGACTTTACATAAGATTAAAAAGCATAGTGTAAGGAACATTTTTTTAAAATAAGTAATAATGTAAAGGCTTCAGCCACCGTGTTCACTCTTGTCTTAGTGCTGCTGTAACTTAATAGAGCCTATTTTTAATCAGGTCAGTTCTCTAAGTCAGTCATTCTGTGGAGGGCAATGGGAGTTTTGGGCTACTTAAGCCAGTACCGTTAACAAAGGAAATGCTTAATTAAGACACAACTCTTCTACTTCTACCCCTCCGCCTCCCCACCCCCCCCCCCCCAAAAAAAAAAAATTCTTAATGAAATTGGAAGGGTTATTGTGGTTAGGGGATTTCAGAGCTCGTGTATAATTTTGATATGATCCTATGTTGGCGTGCCACCTCTGGGAAATGGGATTTTGTACTTTGTTTCTTAATTTTGAAAGTTTCAGCTAACGACATGTAACTGAAGAAAAATTTTATAGCCTTGTATACCGGAATGTCCGAGAAGTTTACTGAGGAACTCTTATTAGGGTGAGTATTTCTCTACACTGGCTTATAATTTGTTCATCAAATCAGTGATCAAATTAGGGAAGGGGTAAAATCAGAAAAAGTAACTCGTATTTTAGTAGTGGTGAGGTTGCTCTAATTGTTGAAATCAAGTCTGTCTAAATAGTAATGTGGTTACCTTTCATATAACATTGCAGCAGTCCTGTTTACAATGGTATTTCATAAAGGTATAATTCATAAAGGCGTGAATTTAAATGTTAACATTTTTGAACTTGTTAATTGAATGTTATAGAGTGTTTTTCATACTCAGGAAAGGCTTTTATAATTTGATCGTTTAAATATCACTATTGTCAACATGTATTCCTTTAACAAAGAGAATATCGTGTAATTTTGTTTTTCGGGCTATATTCCCATTTTGTTTACAAAGATGTACATTAAAGTCTATAGGCTTTGCCACAGAATTAAAGTGCTCAGGATTTCAGGTGTATTAGATGATGTATCAAGCAAATGCTACAATGAACAGTTCTCTGCCAAGCTAATGTTTGCTAATCTTTAAAGAAGTGATACTAAAATAAATATTATATTTTTTTCCTATTTGGTTTAGCCATAATTTTAGTGATTCTGACGTGTCATAACAAATGTTATTGTTTCACTCAAACCAGAACTAAAATGCCTACTTTGATTCCAGAAAAAGTGGCATTCAGCAGATTTAAGTATTAAAGCAAGACTTCTGATTTAAAAATCCAGCTATTTCTTCCCTCCTGCTAAGTGTTGTTAGTTTCAGTTTTCACACATCCCACAAGGACTGTTATCCATTGTCAGCAGATATGTTACAGAATGAAATGCATATTTTCAGAAAGAAAAAAAATAATGTATATAAGCAGAATACACGGCAAGATCAAGAATTGAAATGAAAGCAACACCAGGCCAGAGTAATAGAATAATGAAGAGCCAAAAACCTCCATACTCCTTATAAGCAGCTCTAGAATGCAAGCCAACCTCTTACCAGCAAAATTTGTGTGTGAATATTAACATCAACACTATTAGTTTTGTTTGTTTGTTTTGTTCTGTTTTTAAATGTTGTGGCCTTCAGCTTGCATAGTTTCTGTGAGTTTTTCCTGAGCCTTTTCTGCAGGTTTGTGAAATTGGCTTATTCTCTAAGCTGCTAGTTGCAAAGACGGTTACAGCTGTGCCCATTTTGACATGGACTGCACATGAGTTGTAGGCTCTTAAGCCCTAGATGAAGTCTTCACCTCTAACTGAGGAAACATCCTTCCCTCCTCTCATGGAGAAGTGGAAGGGAAATGAAGGTTTGTCACAGTGATGCAGAAGTGCCTGTTATTTAGTAGGCATTTAGTAGTGAATTTCACTGTTTAAAATTTTACTTTTCCAGTTGTTGGCTTCCTTACAAAAGGTGTTGTATTTATACAAGAGGTGTGTCCTCTCCTCACCATGTATGTGCAAATCTTTATAATTCTGGGAGATCCTTAAGACACTTTGTTCCTACTGGGCTTCTTTTGAGATTTTTTGAAAGTACAGTAGTGGTAAAAATATAACCAACCTTTGACTGTTAAGCTATCTGGAACATACACGAGGGAGGATACTGTTAGAAGCTCAGTGACTGACTGAAACAAGACTGAGAAATACGTATCTTCTGTACTAGGTGGATCTTAATATTTAGACAGTTCTTGATTTATGTAAGCAACAGTTCGATTTATATGTCTAAGAACTTGTCAGTACAGTACAACTTGTCTGTACAACAGAGTCTATTATACTGTTGTTTAGGACCTACAAATAGGGTGGGAGCAGCTCTTAGCTATGGCAAGCTGTCCTTAAGGAACTTTCAAGATGGAATCTGCCTCTGCTGAACAAGAAAGACTAAATATGTCAGAGACCTGCATAATCTTGTCTGATTTTGCTAGGCTTATAAGGAAAAAACAACAAAACTAAAACCGCAAAGACATAAAGGAAATAATAGGTCTAATTCTTAGATCATTTGGTCTTCATGCCAGAGATTTGTCAGAGATGAATCTGGGACACTCTACAATGAGTATTGATCCATTGTGATCTTTCAGGATTGTGATGGGTGGGGAAGGACAGAGATGTTACCATTCTTATCCAACACTATTATCACAAACATAAGGTATAAGAGAACAAACAAGATGAGTGATCTACCTAGATATGAAAATACCTATTCCAAAATGCTTTGTTCAGCCATAGTTGCTACACATGAAAAGCCTGTATGGCATTTTAAATTATATACTTGTCTTGTGCAATTAAACCTGAACTATTAACAAAGAATCAAGACTGAATCACAATGGCACAGATGCTTCCTTGTCACCCTTTCCATGGTCCACAGAACTAACTGGTTCTCTAAGGCCAGCATGGTGATCCCTCTTGCCTATATTATTGTCAACATCCATAGAGCTCTAGGAGATTAATCTCCATTATGTACTAATACTCCTGGTCTCAGATTCATTTGCCTTGCCTTCCACAAGGAGAAGATTATGTTTCCTGCTCCACTGTCACACACATGGGATAATCGCTTTAGTACCCTCTCCCCTAGCCTTTCAGCCATATCCTTTTGTATGCCTTAGAGTTCTCCAAGGTCATAATTCCTAGTAGTTTTTTAGTGACTTATTACCCTCTAGTCATCATTAGGTCCAGGGTTATTATCTCATCTATGAACAATTAACTCTTCTTCTCTTCAATAACTAATGAAGACATGTGTGTTTCTAGCTGTACTATACTTCCCTAAAGGACACTGGCATAGGTTATATCTGTATGGTGAAGGTTATATCACTTTACCTGTATGTCATTCTTTTACTTTTTTTTTTTTTTCTTTTTTTAACTCATAACTTTACAGATTGGTCAATAACTATCAGTAATACATCTTTCAACAACCTTTGAAACCTAAAAATAATAAATAAAAACTAAAAATAATAAATAAAAATAATAAAGGTGCATGCACTTTTTTTTTTTTTTTTCATTTTACATGCTGTTTGCCATTTACAAAAATCAAATTTTAGTTCAATGTAATCTGCACTTTTTTTTTTTTTTTTCTCTATAATCTCTTTAGGGTTCGCCCATCCTTCCCTGCCAAGGTTATCTCAAAATTTGTCCAAGCCTCCATTTGCATATTTTCTCTCTCTCACAATTCACCAATATCCTGTTACATGACTACATCAATATCTTCTAGCCAGAGCTAACAGGTTATTTAAGGCATCGTGACTGAAAAGAAGAAAGTCAAACAACTTAGTTAATCAATTAACTTTATGAGTCAAACAACCTAATTGTTACTCAACTACCTGTATTAATTCAGTTACTTCAAGTTGTGATAGAATTTTTGATCCAAATTAACATGGTATACAGTTATAATTACAGTTATTATCTAGCTGCTATGAACTGAATTGGAATTCCACTCACCATTCTGTCAACTCTGTCATAACCACTGTCTCTTACTCAGTTCCCTGGGAAAGAAATGTATGGAATAATATGTCCCTTCCTGGCAGGTGGTTACCACTTGGGCAGCAGTGTGCTTGTTAACAAAGACTCAATTTGCTGCTGTCTTGAGTATATTTATACCTCACTTGTCATGTGCAGAGTTTTCCCAGTTTTGACATACTCCTCCCTTCTCCTTTTGTAATCGTGGTTCTTCTCCTGGAACAGTTCAGTTGGCGTATTGCTGATTACAGCTGCGCTTTGTTCTGCATATCTTGTCACGCGCTGATTGCTTTAAAGAAACATTTCCTCCCGCGCGATTAACTCAGCTATGTGAGTTGGCATTACACCAGGTCATGATGTTTCAGCACACCAGGATTCACTTCGGGGTGAAATGTGTAAAAGGACTCACTGGGCCCCTAGGGCTCAAGGGAGGATCTCTTAGCCTGGCTACAATAGTTCACAGAGTACAAAATTTATCTGTATAGAACTATTACACTTAGTTAAAAGAAAACAACAACAACAAAAATCAAAACAGGAAAAAAAATCTCTATAGCTTGTTACAGGGACAACTCCACTACAGTTATTTAAAATTGAAGACAGATGGTCTTGAGACAATGCAAACAAGAACAGCTGATCAGCTTCAGCAACTGTTTCTGGTATGTACATCTATTTCAAAATATTTCATCATGGATTGTTTAGTATCCGGCCCAGATCTGAGAAAAGGGGAGTTTCAAGATGGTTTTAATATAGGGGGAATACTTAAGCTATGCTCCATACTTGCAGTGTTTATTTTAAAGCCCTACGTTCATTTTCCACTTTTGTTGTAAGTCATTTGCCCTCTTACAGAAAGTTCAGCAAGTCCATAAAAAATAGCTGTTTCTTCAGCCAAATCAAGTGTGAACTCCTTTCCAGACTTAAGAAGCCAGTGTAGATCTTTTATGATTGTTAAAAAGTTTTTGTACCATCACAAAAAAATTTTGGTGTTCTACTCCGCAGAATATTTAGTCATTTCACAGTGAGACAATTACACCTTAATCGATCTTGTATACACTCCAAAAGACAACACCAAGGAATACTTTACAGATGTTACATTCCTCCTTTCTCTCTCTTTTCTTAATCAATTTTTGAATCTTAACTCTTTTTTTTTTTTTTTTTTTTTATTTTTATTTTTATTTTTTTATTCCACTTGCAGGGAAAACATCTTTTCCAAAAACAGACGACCTACATTAGTTAGAAAAGTATGAGCTTTATGTGGTTTGGGGGTCAATTCTACTTGTTGAGAAAACAGATTAAACCCAAAATTAGTTATTTGATCCAAAACCCACAAACATTAATTCAGCTGAAATGTTACAGAAAAAAAGGC